TTTTTTTTCAAAGAAAGTATTCTGAACAAGTCTGAGAACAATTAGCTTCCTGCCTGCTATGCCTAGCAACCCCCTGCTCTTCCTCATCTCCCGACGAGCCGACCTCCTCCACCACATAGTTCGGAAGATAAGAAACAGCAGACAATCAACCTCTCCAAAACCCTTCAATTTTCCATCTCCCTTCGACGAGCCGACCTCCTCCACCACATAGTTCAAAGAGAGAGAAGATAATTGGAGTCCAATCAAAGAATTGAGAATATGTCATCAGATCTTTTTTGACGCCGCCGTAAAAAGGATACGCTTCCATTGGTCACAGCTCAAACCAATCCCTACCCACTATACCTTGTCTCATGCTGCCTCCACCGAGGAAAATCCCTTGGCCCCAACATAAAACAGATCCCCTCCCCTCCCACCACCACCTCCGCAACGGCAACCAATCCCCTCCTAGAGGCTGCCTTTGCCCGCCCCTTGTCCCTATCTGCCCCCGCTGGGGTTGAAGGCGACCAACTCTCCAACCCCGGCCCCAGACTCAGACTATCCCCAATCTGCCCTACTCCCAATAGGGCTACTGCCTCCCACCATGCAACACCCCTGTAGAATAAGGCTCCCCTATAACAGACCCCAGGGTTAATTTTTCGGGGACAGCTAACTAGTAGTCTATACCCACAACTGGCCAGCCCTATCTCTCCTTCCCCTAGCTTACCCAAGGCCAGGCGGAGCCCAGGCTGACAGTCCTACCGTCCTTCCCCTGGCTTGTCCCCTAACTTAGGCCAGGCGGATCTCAGACCTGCTGTGGGTAACTACCGTATATCTGTACCCTGGAGTCTCAAAACCCCCCTGCCTACCAAAGTTCCAGCCACAACCTCCGAAGTCCTATCCCCACTACAGCGTCTGCAAAAGCTCATGAAAAAAACGAAACAAAGGGGGAACATGCAGTGCAAAACCCAGTGGCGAAATTGCTAAACAATCCCAACATGAAAACATTATGTCTGAAATTTCTGCTATAAATAGTCGTAATCAAGAAGTAAGTAATCAAGAAATAGGTGATCGAGATATAGGTAGTCGGGATATAGGTAATCAAGATATAGGTAATCTAGATGTAGGTAATCAAGATATAGCTAATCGGGATGTAAATATTTATGACTATTGGATAATTGGGTAGCCGAAAACGGTACCCTGAGACTAAAAGGTTTTCAGATTGATATTTAATATCGATGATGGTAGTGATAATGATCGAAATGTTATAGATGACTATTTGAGTGAATCGGTAGCCTAAAGATAGTGGTGGCGATCAACTTCGCCTACAGATGGAAGCTGTGAGGATGATAGTGTTGATGATCGTGGTACAACAGATGCTAGCTATGAAGATAATAGTGCTGATGATCGTGATACTACAGATGGTGAAAATCACTATAGAAATGACTAAACACCCATAGAGATGTAATGATGATAAGGATGTGGACTAATTATCTATTATGTTGATGCGATCGCCTTGCCCCGTCGTCCACATCGCCCGACATACTCGAATTTCATGGCGCACCCTGAATCTTCGATATCTCATGATCCACTGGACCATTTGATCTGAAATTTGGGCCACCTCAGCTCCTCGACATAGACCACCGGCAGTCCAATTTTCAGGTCAGGGCGCGCGCCCAATCGCGGGCAATCGTTAAGCGCGCGCACGCCGTATGATGAGGAATGGAGGATGATGATATTGCTATAACGTGCACCTGTGATGATGCACTGGTGATGATAATAATAGGGATGAAACAGCGCCCCTAAAATAGTAAAACATTGATGAGTGCAATACGGATGGCGATGCCAACGAGCGGCTGCAATAGTGATGATGGTAAGGACCACAGCCCCAACATGACGGTGCTGTCACGTACCTTGTTTCTAATACGAGTGACGAGATGTTGCTAACAAGCTGCACGCGGGTCCTGTTACCGCCTTGATGATGATGAAGAGCAGCACCCTGATGGCGATGACGAACAGCCCCTGATGATGATAACAAAACCTTTACCATGGTGACGAGCCTCCCTGATGCCAATGGACGAGGACACTGATGATGACAGGTAGCTACTCCACTCGCACTTCGGGTCACGCAAGGCTCACTCCGCTGAACTCCACAGGCATCCCCAGAGACAACACCTCACAGGTTCTATGCCACGGGCAAAAACGCAGCAGCAATGGAGTATGAACGCGGAACTCCCAGAAAGCCTCCGAGAGTCAGTCTATTCTCCCTATCAACTTGTGATACGGTATAGACAAGCAGCTTCACTCACCGCGCGTGCGCAAAACGCCTAGAAAGCAGCTACCGTAAGCTCAACACCCAGCCCAACAACTCCTCCGTTACCCCACCAGCTCTTCTGTCTCGCCATCGCTATGCACCACGTCGTCCGTTTGAGCGCGCCAGAGTGAAGCCGGTTCGAGCCAGGCATGCTCCCGCTTCTCCGCCTCTCTCCGCCGCCGTGGTTAGTGCCGGGGCGCAGCGCTCCCCGGTGAAGGTAAAACATAAAATGCTCACCTGTGGAACTTGGGGAGCATGGATTGCTTCCCTGAGGAGAACGAATTTCTGCCTGGTTGTGCTGGTTGCTCCGCATGTGAGGAAAGTGTAATGCCTGCTTGACCTATGGAAGGAATCTTAGCATGAGCCTTACTTAGTATATTCATCATTTTGGAAATTGGGTACAAACACTTTACACAGGCTTCTCCAAAGCCGTGCCTGCTTTTTCTTGGCCACAAATTTACTTCTGATACAAAGTGAGAGTGTTACATACTTCAACGAGTATGGGCAGAACCAAAGATCAACCAATGTAGGATGAGCATATATGCAGCGGAAGTCTGATAAACGGACTGACTCACATAGACTGACTCACATAGAATCACTCCACACACATACAATCATGAGATGGTGGGGTCTGGGCCAAGCATGGACGATGCCCAGATCCCGTACACACATACACAGATGAAAGGTGGGAGGAGAGACGAAGGAGGTGGGGGAGGTAGACAGCACCGGTAGGTCACCGAGATAGAATCCGATAGGTCACCGATATGGTAGTCCAAAATGTCATCCAACAAGATCAAAATGTCGAGGACAATCAGTCACCAATGTYRGAGATACAGGGTCCAAATGTAACCGGTGTYCGAACTGTGATGCCGCCAAGTATCAACCCCAACAATCTCCAAGTCTCCAATCTGGTAAGTACCACAGTCTCATACCACCGAAGTCCAACACTGATCTCTGTCCACTAGTATAAGTCTCCGATCTGAAGAAGAAGAAGAAGAAGAAGAAGAAGAAGAAGAAGAAGAAGAAGATGACGTCTGAAGAGAAGAAGAAGAAGAAGAAGAAGAAGAAGGAGCCGAGGAGGAGAGAGAGAGAGGGACTGGTGAGGGGAGGGAGGAGAGAGGCCTCCAACTCCCGATACCTCAGGTGGCGATGGCCGCCGGTACACTCAGTCGCCGCTGCTGCTGCGCTAATGTGGCGCTGCTGCTCCTCGCTGCTCCTGCGCTAAACTTAGCGCCAGCGCTGTATCGCGCTGTACCATACCGTACCGGTAGAATGCCGGTAGGCCGATAGCCTCACTGAGGCTGGACCGGTACTTTTGTACCTGTGGTACCGGTGGTACCGGTGGGCAGAGGTCGGCCTCTATGCTGCGAGGCCTGACCGTGCCCTGAACCGTCCAGATGGACGGTTCAGCCCCAACCGGCGGGTGGCAGCCTTAAGAGCGCCGCCAGGCCCAAACAGTAATATCGTTTGGGCCGGCCCGTCGGGTCTGGTCCAAGATAAGGCCTTTACGGCCTGTAGTACCCCCCAAGGTCGGGCCTTTGGCCCTACTGTGTCCCTCTACCCCTACGTCGGGTCCGGTAGGACCCGTGTGGCATCGAAGATGTAACACACGCCCCCTCTTAAAAGACCGAGCTACCTGCGAGGGCGAAGTTGTCTGTCCGATACCGGGGTGGGTCGGGCAGGACGAGCTGATTCCTTAGCAAGGCGTCGCTTCTCATAATCGGCGAAGATAAGGGGTGCAGAAGTCTGCAAATGTGTACTGGAGATCCACCGAGTGTCATCCGGCGCACATTGCTTGAATGTGACTTTGTACTGCATTGGCTTGTTGCCATACTTGTGATGCGTGATGACTCGGTCGACTTCGTGATGTCCGTCCATAGAAGGCGGATCTAGTGATCGACGGTCGGGAAACTCGTCGGCGGAAGGTGGCGTGTAGATGGCCAGCTTCGACGCGTGGAAGACCCGGTGCACTGGAAGGTGCGGAGGAATGTTGACCACAAAGGAAGGACCTGCGGGGTCGTCTCCAACGACAGAAGTGACTTCCCATGGTCCGAACCATTTCGGAAGGAGTTTGCGCGAAACGTCCTGCTCGACCGCAAATTCCTCGGAGAGGACCCAAACAAGGTCTCCCTCGCGAAAAGGACATGGAAGTCGACGTCGGTTAGCCTGCTGCTGCATGCGGATCTGAGTCTTTTGCATATTCGCGCGGGCTTTGATCAGCAAGTCCCGGTACTTCCGAACGGAAGCGGGAGAGCAAGGGACGTCTATGTCGGCAGCCTGTGGCAAAAGTAGATCAGCGAAGATCCGTGCTTTCTCTCCACCATGATGTACGCCGGTGCACCGAATGGTGTGACGCAGATCGCCGGGTGCATCGAAGTGTTATAGGCGAACTCGATGTCGGGAAGCCGGTCAACCTAATCTTTCTGGTTAGGACGGATGAGCGTACGCAACATCATCTGAGCGGTCTGGTGCTCTCGCTCCGTCTGGCCATCCGTCTGCGGGTGCCGAGCCGAGCTCGATTTCATTGTCGTACCGGACTCAGCCATGAGGGAAGTCCAGAAGCCGACATGAAGCGAGTATCTAGGTCGCTCACTACGTCTTCCGGAACACCCTGGTTGGTAATCCAACCGGTGTGCAAGAGTCGTGCGAGCTCGGGCGCTGTAGCATGATACTTGCAATGAAGGAAGCGAGCATACTTGCTCAAACGGTCAACGACCGTGAGAATCCCGTCATGGCCGTGTCGATCGCGGGGAAACGGGCCTGTCACGTCCATAGCAATGGAGAGGCGTGGTGCCCGAGGAATCGACAACGGTTTCAGTTCGCCAAAGGGGACTCGAGATCGACCCTTGTTACGGTGGCAAACTGCACATGACTCAATGTACCTCGTGACGTCATGAAGGGCGTCGGGCCAGTGAAAACGCTGGCGGAGGCGTGCTAGTGTGCGGTTCACGCCAAGGTGTGCCGAAAGTCGTGCGTCGTGGAATTCGCCGAGAAGACGAGTCCGTAAGATGCGATCTTGGGGCACTACTAACAAGTCCTTTCCTCTTGTGTGAAGGAGAAGGAACTCGTCGGAAATCGGATAGTGGCTAGCCGGCGGGTGATCCGATGAAAATTCCGCGTAAAGCGTAGAGTAAGTCGGATCGGACTTGTAGCCTTTGACGAAATGCGGTTGGAGATCGTCATCGAGGTCGAATGTCGTGGTCACAATGGCACAAAAGTTGGGCCGTAGTGAGAGGGCGTCCGCAACTCGATTGGCGGGACGGGGAATGTGGCACGGGTCAAAGTCGAACTGGTTGATGTAATACATCCATCGACCGATCGTGCTAGTGACCGTATCCCACGTTTTGTAAAAGGTCAACGGATTGTTGCCCGTATTCCATTTAAAACGCCGACGACCGAGAAGAAAGTGGCGCCACCGTTTGAGAATGGTGACGAATGCGAGTAGCTCTTTCTTCCTAGCGTCGTCGAGAGTGTTTACGAGAGGCACCTTTTGGGAGAAGTACTCGACCGGGTGCCAACCGTCCTCGTGACACCGTTCCAACACCGCACCAATACCGTATCCCGAAGCGTCCGTAGTCACTTGGGTGGGAAGGGTGGGGTCATATATACGGAGGGCAGGTGGGGCTTGCATTGTTGCCTTCAACGTAGTGAACGCGCCACGGGCTGCGTCGTCGAACTCGAAGGGCATCTTCGGGGACTGAAGTCTCAACAAAGGAGCAACCACTTTCGAGTATGACTCGACGAATCGCTGATAGTATCCAGCCAATCCCATGAAAGAGCGTACATCCGTCGTGCAACGGGGTTCCGGCCAATTCACGATGGCTTGGATCTTGTCCGCTAAGGGACGAATGCCTTTCGGCGTGACAAAGTGACCCTAGTACTCAAGCTCCTGCTTGGCGAATTCACACTTGTTGAGATTCGCTTTGTACTTGGCTAGTCGCAAACGATCCAGAACAACGCGAAGGTGTACGATGTGCTCGTCCAACGTCCTATCGTAAACCAAGATGTCATCAAGGTAGATGAGGACGCTGCGCTCGAGCAAGTCGCGAAACTCAGTCGTCATTGCTGCTTGGAATGTCGCGGGAGCATTGGTGAGGCCAAAGGGCATGGCAACCCACTCAAAATGCCCGTACCACGTCTTGAACGCGGTCTTGTACCGGTCTTGAGGCTGGATTTCAATCTGGTGGTAGCCTGACTTCAAGTCCAACTTCGAGAAGTACTTCGCGCCGCCTAACCGCTCAAGAAGGTCATCGATCCGAGGGAGAGGGCCGGCGTTCTTTACGGTTTGTGCGTTAAGTTTCCGATAATGGATGCATAATCGTAAATCTTTGTTCTTCTTCTGGACGAAGAGAACAGGGGCACCGTATGGCGAGCAACTAGGGCGAATCCAACCCTTGTCGAGAAGGTCATCGAGTTGTGCGCGAAGCACCTTGAGTTCCTCTTCGCTCRTGCGGTAGATACATCCACGCGGAGGGGCGGCGCCAACCTCGAGAGTGATCCCGTGACGTATGGGCCGATTCGGAACCGTTCCGGTGGGAGCCTCGAAGACGTCTCTATACTCGTCCAAGAGGTGAGAAATGCGTGGGTCCGGCGGTGACGCGGCTGGTCCGTCCGGCGAGGGGAGAGCATGCAAGAATACAAGGCCCATCTCCTCGACGTCATTCCGAGCAGTGGCGTCGCAAATTCTCGCAACGAAAACCACGTGGCAAGCAATCGAAGTGTGAGGGGTCGTGACCGTACATGGGACTGACACTCCCTTTCGATCACGAATGTGAACGGTTCGATCATGAAAGTTCACCGGATGATCGGCGCTACGCAACCAAGACATGCCTAGAATCATGTCGAACTTGGTGTCGAGGATGTCAAAGACACCGGCTCGCACGCAAGTGGCGCAAAGTATACCGGAATGCCGTCGACGCATCGGTCAATTGACTTTTGCGTGCGGCCGTCCGCGAGTATGACTTGCGTGGGTTGCGTCTTCCTTCGAACGCGCGGGCCATAAAGGCTTGGCTCATAAAGTTGTGAGACGCTCCGCAATCAATCAAGGCACTAGAGGTTGCCTTTCCGATTTGAATGCGGATATAGAGCAAAGGCGCGTTGGCGTACTCGCGGTCAATCTTCGCAAGATAGGAGCGAAGATCGACAACCGCTACCCCGTCGTCCGTCAACGGAGCTGGTACTATAGTGTGCAAATAGGAGCGTAAATCTGCCATCAAGGCGTTGCAATGGGGCCTTGGCAAGGTTTCGGTCGAGGGTAGAGGCATCCAAGCGAAGTCCTCTCTCGTGAGCGGGTCAAGCTCCTCAAGTCTTGACCACGCCGTCGAGTCCTCGGAAATCAGCGGCGAACTGACCGGATCACTTGCCGACGGTGTATAAGCTGCGCATACGCTAGCTAAATGCACGTGGCTTGGCTGGTTTAATGGTGGTACCAGCTGGGCGACATAATCCTCGTACGTAGCACGAGAATCAGCGACTAACGCATGCTCCCCGGTAGTGACATCGATTGCTAGCAAGGCAACCGGTTCCGGGGGAGTGAGGAGAGACGTCGCCCCTCTCCTTGCATGACTCAGTTTTCCGAGTTTGCTGGACGGAGTACGCGTGCCTTGCCCTTTTCGGGGCATTGTGCAGTCAAGTGTGTAACTCCATTGCACCAAAGGCAATATTTATACTTTTGACGAAGTTCATAGACTTCCTTGGTGATGTTGTAGGCCGTCCATGGCTGCTGACCAGTTCCCGTCGATGCCGTCTCTTGTGTCGCCTTGGGTTTCCGGACCCTCCTAGGACGCTTCGGCGGGAGCGCTGCTACAATTCCTCCATCACTCGAGGATGCTGCTGCAGCGTGGAGATCGTTTGTTTCTTCAGAAATTACAGCATTGTTATGTGCCAGACGTTGATAGCCATGCTTAGCCACATAATGCGGCTGGGATTGTTTCTCGTTAGCGGCCTTGTCGTCCGTTTGGATGACCAGGTTTGCGTGATCCTCGATAGCCTGGAACGAGGTATAGTCGTACTCGTTACCGAGTGCTGACCGCAATCCTGCGCACGATCGTGAGAAGAACTCGGATCGTTGATTAGGAAAAGTCAAATCGAAGCCTGGCGTGGTCACTATCTTCTGCCACTTGGTTGTCTTGTCTCGAGTTTGCATACTTCCTTGAGAGCAGGTGTACACCTCGTTCATGGCCGCCTTCACGACGTTGTGGACCATGAAACGGGTGAACCATAGCTGCTCGAACTCCTTCCACGTGATGTGCGTGTGAAGTTCGACGATGGTGCATGTGTGGGTAGCCGCTAGATGGTTCATCCATGCCTGCGCTCCTCCAATCAGCTGTAAGTATAACGCCTTCATCAGATAGTCGTCCGGGACAGTGCGACATGATGCTTCCGTGAGGAAAGGTTGCCACCACGCCAAAGCGTCTGTCTTGTTGTGGTCGTCGAACTTGCTGATGTCGAAGTGCGGCATCTTGTAGTTCTTCGTAGTGGTCTGCAGCTTGGTGATGTCCGTCTTGATGGCGGCCACCGTGCTACTGATCGTGTCCGGCCCATTGAAAACACCTATGTCGCCGATGAGATTGACGACATGATCGATGCGCCCATTGAGCTGCTTCGTTGTGTCTGTCATATCTGGCGTGCAGCCTGGCGCTGCGTGGGGAGGCCTTTCCTCCAAGGTAGCAATGCGTGCATCGAGCTGTTTCAATTGGTTGTCCGCGACCTTGACAGCTGCTGCAAGTATCTTCACGTTGTGGCTCAGATCGTGCTGCAGCTGCAGTGTGGACCGGGAATGCAGCTCCCCCATGGAGCTGTTCCAAATGACGGCGCGCATTGTATGGAGTAGAATATCTGCCAGGTCGTGCCTCTCTTGCTGTACTGTTGTCGGCTCGCTGCCGGGTGCCGGGACATAACGCATCCCGTTGAGCACCGCTGTCCATTGTGCTT